GTGAGCGACTGCTGAGGAGACAGTGGGGAGGCGGTGCTGCATGTTGACTGCGGTTGTCTGCGGGCGAGCGGACAGGCGAGGGAGTGGGCGGTTGGACCGGGGCCCGGCGGTCCCCGTGGCGTGCGGCAGTAGAGGGCGCCGCCATTTCCCCGCTCTGACCACGCCCCCACATACAGCGTCACAACCCAGCGACCTGGGAGTCCAAGGCGCCGCTTCTCACACTTAAAGGGCCAGAACAGACCAAAAATGTCGCAGGAAGACCTCAAAGCCCCAGAGATAAATCTAAGCGACGAAGAAATAGCAAAACTCTCAGACGCACAGTTTAAAACACTGGTCATCAGGATCCTCACAGATCTGGTGGATTATAGCCACAAATTAGAGAAACATATGAAGGCTAAACTAAGGGAAATGAATGGAATTCCACAGGAAACCCATAGAGATGAAAAGGAAACTGGGACTCAAATCAATGGAGTGGACCAGAAGAAAGCAAATAATGGCCAAACAGAAAAGAGTCAAGGAGCAAGAATTCAAAGAAATGAGGAGAGTCTTAGGAACCTCCAGGACATCTTTAAACGCTCCAATATCCGAATTATAGGGGTACCAGAAGGGGGGAAAGACACAACCACCAGTGGAAAAACTATTTGAACAAATAATAAAAGAAAATTTCCCCCAATCTGGCAAAGGAAATAGACTTCCAAGAAATCCAAGAAGCTCAGAGAGTACCAAAAAAGTTGGACTCAAGAAGAAACACACCAAGGCATATCATAATTACATTAGCCAAAATTAAAATGAAGGAGAGAATCCTAGAAGCAGCAAGAGCTAAGGGGACAATCACCTACAAAGGAGTCCCCATCAGACTGTCAGCAGATTTCTCAAAAGAGACCTTACAGGCAAGAAGGGGCTGGAAAGAAATATTCCAAGTCATGAATCTAAAGACCTACAACCAAGATTGCTCTATCCAGCAAAACTTTCATTTAGAATGGAAGGACAGATAAAGTGCTTCTCAGATAAGATCAAATTCAAGGAGTTCATCATCACCAAGCCCTTATTATAGGAAATGTTAAATGGTCTTATCTAAGAAAAAGAAGTTAAAGAAACATGAACAGTGAAAGAACAACAAGCTCACAGTTATTAACTACCACACCTAAAACGAAAGCAAACTAAAAGGACAGCTAGATCAGGAGTGGAAACATAGAAATGAAGATCTCAAGGAGGGTTAGCAACAGGGGAGTGGGAGGAGGAGATGGGGGGAGAAGGTACAGAAAATAAGTAGCATAGACAGTAGATAGAAAATAGATGGGGGGGGCAAGAATAGCATGGGAAATATAGAACCTAAAGGACTTGAGACACATGGACATAAACCAAAGGGGGGTAATGGTGGGGATGGGGGGGCAGGGTGGAGGGGAATGAAGGGGGGGAATAGAACAACTGTAACAGCATAATCAATTTAAAAAATAAATTAAAAAAAATAAGATGTTATAGAGATCCAGTTTATCTGCCCAGTTTGGATGATGAGTGGCAAACATGGAGGTGATAAGATCTTTCATTCTCTGAGGATCCTCCATACATGAGGAGATGGAGTTCTTCCAAATCAGTAAGTCTAAAGTGGAGAATGGGTCCAATAGTAGCCAGCGGGCTGGCCTTCTGAGTTATGCCATCTATAGCAGGCGTGTCAAACTCATTTTCATCAGGGGCCACATCAGGTTTGTGGTTGCCTTCAAAAGGCCGAAATAATTTTAGGACTGCATAAATGTAACTACTCCTTAACTGTTAAGGGATTGAAATTACATTTGGTCCTTTGAAGGCAACTCTGAGGCTGATGTGGCCCCTGGTGAAAATGAGTTTGACACCCCTGATCTCTAGGGTGTTGTCTCAAAGGGAACTGTCTGCTCCAGATAGAGATTCTGCCTGGCCAAATTGGATGCTCTGATGCATCTTCGAGGAGGATATTCTTCCCTCATCACACAGGGGGTAGGGCTGTTGGCTCTGTGGACCCTATTTCAGGGGTATCTAGCTGTGGTAATAGTAACAGGGGAGGTCTTCCTGCTACTAATCCTGTGTCCCCTGAGTTCAAGGCACTGATGAGACTTATTTCCTCATTTTCTTTTTCCTCTTGCATTCTACTGTCAGGAGGTGTTTTGAGGCAATTTCCCACCTCTGTGCCCTCAAACAATTCTCTGTCCCTGGTGTAACCCTGTTATATAACAACCTAAATGCCTCGACATAACAGATTTCATCCCATTTGTCTAACCGTCAGCAATATATTTCTAATTGAATGATGGTACAGTAATTTAAGGAACCATTTAGGGGTCATTTCCCCCTGCAGTCTAAAATATACATAAGCCGCACAGTATTACAATAAAGAACCCATTCCTCCTTAGACACTGGATAATGGTTGTACATACTCCAGCCTGCTAAAATTCTACCCAGTGAGCTTCCTTCAGGAGCCAACACAGAGAAGCCCTTATCGTCCTAGATGTACAGGCTAAAAGCTATGACCAAAAGAATGTAGGCAAACTGGGAACATATAAGCAGAACTTGAACCCACAGCTCGATTATTCCAAATGAGTGCTCACAAGCAAGTCTTCTACTAACCAATCTCACAAACCAGTGGCCTCCACACAATGGCCTCCCAAAACTTGGCCAGTCCCCACCAGGACCTTGGTTCACAGACCCAAAACTCAAGTGAGCCTCACCCCTTCTGAGAGTCTATCCCCTACCCAGACCCATTTCCTTTTTACTTACCAGGCAAAAATAAGCAGCTGACACCTCGTGTGGGTGTGCAGAGAATTTCCCAGAGATTGGGAAACCCTCTAGTCCAACTCCTGAGGGGTCAGCCTGCCACGGGCAGCTAGGATCCCACCAGAGTTTCCACTACTATTACTGTTACTGAACATCATGGGGTCCCAGTGCCCACCAACCACAGGCAAACTTCAAAGGCAGAGAGAGGTCTGGTGAAAAAGGAAAGAGGTCATTTATTCAAAAACCACGCCATTTTGGAAGAACGGCAGGCTTCTGTGTCAGAACCATTCCCTCTAAACACCCAAAGAAAAACCCCACCACCTTTTGCCAAATTTGTTCAAGGCTGCACCTGGAATTCCTTCTCCCATTTAAAAATACCATTGTTTGAGCCCTGGCTGGTGTGGTTCAGTGGATTGAGTGCCAGCCTGGGAACCAAAGGCTCACTGGTTCGATTCCCAGGCTAGGGTACATGTCTGGGTTGTAGGCCAGGTCCCCAGTAGGGGGAGTGGGAGAGGCAACCACACATTGATGTTTCTGTCCCTCTCTTTCTCCTTCTCTTCCCTTCTCTAAACTAAATAAAATCTTTAAAAGATAAAAAATAAAAATAAAAAATACCATCCTAAAAGGAAACACATGTGGCTACAGCATGACCATCCAGGTGGCTTAGATAGTTCCCAGTGGCAGACTGGCTTCAGGCATCTTTCTGTAGTCTGTGTGCACTGGTGTCCTACTGGCTCCTACTCACTGTGTGCTGTCCTTTCTTCTTCTTGCTGCCCACTGGCCCACCACCTGTGCCCTATCGTTCAGGCCACTGGCTCACTAGTGCGTCTGTGTGCCCACCTGAGTAGGACTGTGTAGTGTCAGTTTCCTAAGCCCCTCTAGAACACCTAAAGAAAAATAACCCTGCCACCCCCTGCCAGGCCAGAACAATCCTATGATGTTCCCAGAGTTCCTTTTCCCACATAAAATATTGTCCTTTTGGAAATGCAGGTGGCTACAGCATGATCATGTAGCAATCCTTGAGAAAGAAAGAGAGCCAGCCTCTGTCTGCCTTTTATTTAAATCTTCTGGGCCATAATTATATTCACACTGAAGCATTTAGCTCAGCCAATTCTGTCCTAGACTGTTATGATTGCCTCAGGCAACCTCCACCTGTGGCCACTCCCTACTCTTCCTCAGTAATCTGATCATATCTCTCTTTATCTTAATGACTCCAGAGCCTTGGTATAAGCAGTGATAATCAACTGTCCTCAGAGTACACCAAGTGCTTGGCCTGTCACATTCTGTATATTCTAAGAAACTTGGTAGAAAACCTTGATTTCCTAAGATTCCAGTTTTAATAGGCATTGGGGAGTTATGAAGGACAAGACCAGGATTAATCGCAAATCAAATATCTCACCTAAAATCCCAAGGATGCATTCCTTACTTCCCCTCTGCAGGGTGCTCATCATCTTCCCCTCTGCGGGATGTCAGTTCCCCCTCCCGCAATTCACTCCCTCCATGGAGTACAGGATAGACATCCCTCAGGGGAGTGGCTCAGGAAAGGAAGGGGATGTGAGAGTGGGAAGCCCCGAGCTGTGGGGAGAAATAATGATTCTTATACTGCTTTGAAGACTTCACAGGGTCTCAGTGGAATTCTTGGGTTCCCAGGAGCATCTGGCCTCCCAGGTTTAAAAGGTAAGGAGTATCTTCTTTTTTAATGTGTTTTTCCAGCTTGAGGTGAATTTCTAGCAGTCCAGGGCTCTCCTGGGGCATAGTGTTAGGGGGAGACTCTGTGTTTAGGGGACAGTGAGTTGATTTATGTTTCCCTTTTGGCCAAGCCCCCTTTGCAGTCTTTGTTTCTCAAAGACTGAAGCAAATAGTGGTTCAACTCTCCTGCCTTCCACACTCAGCAGTAGAGGGGAACCTTGGCTCTGTATGGTCTCTTCCCCTGCTGAAACCAGCCCACTGAGTAGGAAAAATCCGCATCCCTGCTGTCATCATCGTTCCATTCTGGTGATGTTTTGGGGCCCTTTCCATTATCTTTTCTGCCCATACTGGGTCCTAGTAATGTATTTCCTAACAAAGATACATTACCTGTAGCAACACATTCTGCCAATAGCTGGGTAGCCCTTCAGCCTTTTGTTGGTGATTGGTCCAATGTTACCCAATAGGTAATTTTGTCAAAGAACTCCTCTAGCTATACTAAATCTAGAAACATTTTAAAAAAAATCTCCTTGTGACAGAATGAGCTATATGTTCTCCTGACTATTTGAACAATGTTTCGATATCCACAGGAGATCAAGGGCAGACACTTGGACTTCCTGGCAGACCAGGACCTAAGGGACAACCTGGATTGTACAGTAAGGTCCTACTTTTGGGGTCACTCAGAACAAGTTTACTTTTTTTAAAATTTCTTTATTGTTGTTCAATTACAGTTGTCCTCATTTTTTGCCCATTACTTTCCCTTGCCCTACTTACCCACTCTCCCACATTCAATCCTCCCCCACCAATGTCTTTCTCCATTGCTCCTTTATACATGTGCCTTGACTTGACACATCCCTTTCTTCTCCCTGTTATCAACCCCCTCCTCCCCTCTGGTCACTGTTAGTTTGTTCTTTATTTCCATGTGTCTGGTTCTATTTTGCTCACTTGTTTGTTTCATAGATTGGGTTCCACTTATAGGTGAGATCATATGGTATTTGTCTTTCACTGCCCGGCTTATTTCACTTAGCATTATACTCTCCAGTTCCATCCATGCTATCACAAAATGTAGGAGCTCCTTCTTTCTTTCTGCTGCATAGTATTCCATTGTGTAAATGTACCATAGTTTGTTTTTTTTTTAATCCACTCATTTACTGATGGGCACTTAGGCTGTTTCCAGAATGTGGCTATTATAAATAATGCTGCTATGAACATAGGGATGCATAAGTTCTCTTGAATTGTCGTTCCAGGATTCTTAGTGTATATTCATTCCCAGCAGTGGAATTACTGGGTCAAAAGGGAGTTCCGTTGTTAGTTTTTTGAGGAATTTTCATACTGTTTTCACTGTGGCTGTACCAATCTACATTCCTACTAACAGGGGACAAGTGTTCCCTTTTCTCCACATCCTTGTCACCACTTGCTGTTTGTTGTACTTGAAAAACAATAAAAAATGTTGAAAAATTATAACTACTTAAAAAAAAAGATGGCCCTTCTGACTGATGTGAAGTGGTATCTCACTATAGTTTTACTTTGCATCTCTCTGGTAGCTAGAGATGTTGAGCATTCCTTCATTTGTCTGTGGGCCCTCTGTATGTCCTCCTTCGAGAAGTGTCTGTTCAGGTCCTTTGCCCATTATTTAGTTCGGTTGTTTGTCTTTCTGGTGTTGAGTCACATGTGTTCTTTATATACATTTTTTGGATATTAATCCTTTGTCGATGTATCATTGGCAAATACTTCTCCCACACAGTCAGTTCCCTTTTCATTTTGATGATGGTTTCTTTAGCCATACAGAAACTTTTTAACTTCATGAAGTCCTGTTTATTTACTTTTCCTTTACTTCCCTTGCCCATGTACCAAAAATACTGCTACATGGAATATGTGAAATTTTACTGCCTTTGTTTTCTGCTAGGACTTTTATGGTATCACAACTTACATTTAAGTCTCTTATTCATTTTGAGTTTATTCTGATGAATGGTGTAAGGTCTAGTTGAATTTTTTTGCATGTAACTGTTCAGTACTCCCAACACCATTTATTGAAAAAGATATTTGTACTTTATTGTATGCTCGTGCCCCTTTGTGAAATATTGACTATAGAGGGAGAAATTTGGGACTTCCACCAAGATGGAGGCATAGGTGGAAACATTGTGCCTTCTTGCACAACCAAGTTTAAAAACAACAAAGTTTTAGCAACAAAATATGCAGCTAAAAGTTTTAGCAACAAAATATGCAGCTAAACCAATTGAACTATACGGAAGTCTGAAAAAAACAAACCACTCAACCAGATCGGTAAGAAGGGCAGAACAAGCAGTGGAGCGGGGTTGGGCAGGAAAGATCCACCAGACCAACCCAGGTGCACAATCCAGGCACACAACCCAGGCGCGCAGGCAGCCGAGGATGAATCCCAGGTGTGGAGTAGCAACGGGTGGACCCACTGAGGGCACAAGGCAGCAGGCTGATCTTGGTCACACAGTCTTGCACAGATAAACCAGGTGAAGGAACTAGCAGTGAGACAGATGGCGCAGGCCCTCGTGGTGGGAAGCAGCAGAGGGGACCACTATTGTCCCTCTCTGACCCTGCCCCACATACAGTGTCACAACCCATCTACCTGGGTAGCCCCACCCTGATGAATACCTAAGGCTCCTCTGCTCATACATAAGAGGTGCAAACAGATCAAAACGTGGCTCAAGAAGAACTCAGAGTCCCAGAGCCCACAAATCTAAGTGAACAAGAAATTGCCCACCTATCAGATGCACAGTTCAAAACACTGGTGATCAGGATGCTCAAAGAACTGGTTGATTTAGTCACAAATTAGAGGAACAAATGAAGGCTAAACTAATTGAAATGAAGGGAAAGGCACAGGAATCCAATAGTGATGGAAAGGAAACTGGGATTCAAATCAAGACAGTGGATCAGAAGGAAGAAAAAAAATGACCAAACAGAAAAATATGAAGAAACAAGAATTCAAAAAATGAGGAGAGGCTTAGGAACCTCCAGGACATCTTTAAACGCTCCAACATCTGAATTATGGGGGTACCAGAAGGGGAAGAGGAACACCAAGTGGAAATCTTATTTGAACAAATAATAAAGGAGAACTTCCCCAATCTGGCAAAGGAAATAGACTTCCAGGAAATCCAGGAAGCTCAGAGAGTCCCAAAGAAGTTGGACCCAAGAAGGAACACACCAAGGCACATCATCATTATGTGAGCCAAGATTAAAATGAAGGACAGAATCCTAGAAGCAGCAAGAGATAAGGGGACAGTCAGCTACAAAGGAGTTCCCATCAGACTGTCAGCAGATATCTCAAAAGAGACCTTGCAGGCAAGAAGGGGCTGGAAAAAGGTATTCCAAGTAATGAAATCCAAAGACCTACAACCAAGATTGCTCTGACCAGCAAAGGTTTCATTTAGAATGGAAGGGCTGATAAAGTGCTTCTCGGATAAGGTCAAATTCAAGGAGTTCATCATCACCAAGCCCTTATTATATGAAATGTTAAAGGGACTTATCTAAGAAAAAGAAGTTAAAGAAACATGAACAGTGAAAGGACAGCAAACTCACAGTTATTAACAACCACACCTAAAACAAAAGGTACATGGGTTGATGTAGAGAATTTAAAAATTTGTAATGCAGCACTTTTTGGCTAAATACACATTTTTGAAATGTTACAATGACACTAAACAAAGTACTCCTGAACTGTTTTTAACTTCTGAGCAATAATAAAAAGAAATGGAGAATCATTTGAGAATGAGGAAACCTTTAACCAGCTCTACTGAATTTGTGGGCTTGTTCCAAGATTGCAGAATTCTGTTTTAGATTCTCTGAGCTTGCTTATTCTCATGCTCTCTCCCAAGGCACTTCATGTTTCTTTTACTTATGCAGGAAGTTCCTCTTATTAGACAGTTCTTTCAAAGGGATCTAGTTGGTCGTGTCTGAACATCTTTGGGAATAATGAGTTTTGCTTCTTTTTTAAGAATTGAGATACACCAAAAAATATGGCATTTGTTCTTTAGCTCACTTTTCTTTTTTAATCAGTGATTATGTTGGAAAGGTCCAGGCAGAAATACTAAGCATTGGTTGTTTTGGTTATTTGGTTATAAAATATTTAGAATAATCAGTGATCAGCTTGACCTTGGAAATCTTTTTGGAAGTACCATGGGAAGATCTGAGGAGGAAACTTGATGGACCACTGATACCTGAGTGCACACAGGTCGGGGCTCTGAAGTACTCTGTCTTACACTTTCATGTGCCCATGCCTGTGCACACAAATGCATGAGGTGGCTGACGAGGCCCAGCAGAGGGTGCCTGAGTGGGAGGGATGCCCACTGGTGTGCTGTGTTGGAAGGAAGCCTTCAGGATGCTGGCTGTGGTGATGGGTGATGCCAGGAGGGCCCTGGGGGAACTGAACAGAGCAGAACAGTTGTCCTTGTTTGAAAATGGGTGGGTGTGTACTTAGGAAGATTTAGATTCCACTAAAGAAGTTGATACATCTGAAGTCATTGTAAATGAGACGTTTTATTGCCTTGTTAGCCTCTGGTTCACTTTTATTTGGTCATATGGGTGTGTTTTGTTTTGTTTTCAGTAGCCTGAGCGTGACTTGTTTTCTGTCATTTCTCCGTGGGGTGTGATTGCTAATACATGCATTCTAGTGTACAGTTCCTCCAGAAGTCTGTCTGCCCTTGATGCCTATGCCCAGATGGAGCTCTGTGGCTCAGACACATCACCCCAAACGGGTCCCGCTTCATTTAAACCAGTCATAAACTGGTTTCTTAAAAGATACATGCCACTATTACTTCACAGCAAACTCAAGAAGTTTTGCTGTCTACATGTGAACTTCTCCAGAAAAACTCATGACATTTTTCCTTTGGGGAATTATGTCTAAATCCTAGTGACATAAAAGGCAGACCTGCTTTATTTCAATGTAGAGTTTTACATTTTTTCTTAAATAGCCAAAGCCCATCTTTCCCGTTTTCTAAGTTGAGGACATTGTCAGGTACTAGGGAGATAAAAATGTATAAGCTTATCTAATGTGGTTTTTTTTTTTACCAGTGTTTACCAATGCTATTAAAATGAAGTAATTTAAATAAAATAAAATAAAATAAAATAAAATGGGCATAATAAGAGAATTTACCTCAGAGCTTTGGTGAGGAATCAGGGAGGATCAAGGTAATGCATATAAAAGCCCTTAGCACAATGTCTGGCACATAGTAAGGTGCTCAAGAAATGTTACCCATTATATCATTACATGTTAGCTGAGGAAACATATTTGCAAAATTTTCTGTTCCTCATAGTTCTGGGGCCTGGTGTTCCATATTGTACTTATTGATGTGCACATTTGTAAAGTGTTCATGTTTGTATAACAGGTGTATGTTTCCCAGGATCTGTATTCATATTAATTCATTTCCTGAAACATTTATATTGTCCATCTGCTCTGTTTATTCTTTCCTTTGGTCTGGCCCATACTGTTCTTTTATGAAAGCCAGCAGGTTCTCCAGAACGAGGGCCCAAACAGGGTCTGAGCCTATAGGGAGACTGTGTGATTCATCTCTCAGGCAATAGAGAAGAAAGGGTCCAGATAGAAGAAGCATAGGGGCATTGCCTTTTCTAATTTCAAATCTGGACTATGAATGCCTGATCATTAAATTATCCATTTCCTTTAGTATCTCAGGTAATAAAATCACAATTACAAATGCAATAAGGAGCACATGTCAAGATGGATACATTTCAGAAATGTTGAGAGAGGAAAAAAAGCAAGTACCGGAGGAATATACTTGGTATGATTCCATTGTTAAAGGTCCATACACAAGCAAAAACAACCAATATATTGTTTGGGATACAAATATATATGGTCAAACTGATGAAAAGGGAATGGTGAACACAAAATTTAAAAGTGGGTGCCTCTGAGAGGGATGGAAGGTGGTGGGATCTGTGAAGGGCATGCATACAAAGGTAATGCTATCTTTTTTTCTTAAATAATTGTGCGTTGGAACAATGTTCATTGTATCTAGATTATTTTTTACATATGATTTCTAAATATTCTTCCGCTTTTCTCAATATCTGTCTTTGAGTTGGTCATAGAAATCAGTGTAAAATGATGATTTACCTCTAAGGAAACTTTCTAGAGCAATTTCTGACTCCATAATACCTTTAGTAAAGAATTTGGATTTTTAAATTTTTAACTTTTATTAGTATTTATTTTATGCTGAGTTTACTCCTGGGCCATAAGCTTTTGTTTCTTCAGTTTCTTCTGGGATATCTTTTTCTTCTGTGCAACTTCCTCTTCTGGTTTAGGAACAATCTGCTCTTTTTCAGTAAATGTCCTCTCAGTCCAGCAGGGAGGGCTCATGTGTGTATTGATTCTCCATGAGCACTGTAATTCTACACCACATCTTGGGAGCCTTGTTCACCTGGATGTGCTCAATGACCAGAGAATCTACACCTTAACCCTTAAGTTCAGCATTACTCTCTGTGTTTTTAATCACATGCAGCAAAAAAAAATCAGCACTCTTCTTGGGCCACTGACCCTGTGTCCAGCCCCACTGTTTGGCCTGGGCACACCTACCAACCCCACCATTGTATCAATGGAATGGGACACACTGCTTCTTTAAAGTGACATCCTTCAGATACTTGGTGGCTTTTCGAATATGCATACCCTTGATGGCCTGGGCAGTTTTACGAGTGTTCTTAAAGTGAACATGAAGATTTGAACCTCTTGATTTGCAGGATTTTGTGGGGTTTTCTTGGTCAAGTGAATAGTGAATCATTTTCAGAGGTCACCTCTGGTGACTTTTGGGAAGAGTTAATAATTTCAAAATACACTATTCATTTATATATTTGTACTGAATATTTAGAGGCTGAATATGTATATTTAGGGTTTTCTAAGGCTCTGACACTGGAATGAGTTGGAAAAATATGTCACCTTGCATTTTCATATGCTCACTTAAAGTGTCTTAATGAGTTTTTTTTCTACTTGAGGTCAGTTAATACCTTTATTTCAAGTTTAATGGTAAACTGTTGTGATTATACAATAAAGAAACAGGTAAAAAGAGGAGGTGGTTCCAAACGTTGAAATGGAAATTTTTATAATCTGTGTGCTGCCCACAGTCTATTATATATGGTGTCTCATTTAGTGGTTTTGCATAATTTCCGCATTTATATTTTTTTCAGGAAATAAACTGATATGTCTCTTTTCAAATTTTTACTTTTGTGAGGATGAAAAATAGTTCAAAGGTTTTTCAATAAATACTTGACAATATTATAAGTAACATCATGTGGCTTGGCAACAAGTTCTTCTTTGTATTTTTTAATTTGTTTCTTTTTTGGACCTGTAATAATTGGAGACTTTTCTTGAAATTAATTTTTTCTTCTCTATATTCTCTCAGCATTTAATTAATTAATTAATTAAAGAGCTATTAAAAACATCACCAGTCTACCATCTTTCTTTACAAGTTTTCATGGATTTACCTTTACTATTCCTTACCTAAATATGAGAAATTCAGCATTAATATAGTCAGGTTGTCAAAAATAAATGCAACTAATGTTTTTGGATTTTCTTGTCACAAACAAAAAATAAAAATCTCAACCACCAGAACAGTTTATCAACCACTTTGACTCTATTTCTCTTCATTTGAATATCTTCTAAAATATACCAAAATAATAGTACATTTCTTCCATGCTGAAAGTATAATATGAACTTCTACATTTGTGTGTATGGCTTTTATGTGTTTTTTTCATCAGAAGTTCTATCTATATATCCAATGTGTGCATTAAAATAAATCTGTTAGCAGCTGAATTTTTGCTTTGAACATATTATAATAGAAATCATTCTACAAACAAAATACTTGTAAAGCAGTATTAAAATCTGAGCAAACAAATATTCTGTGTCTACTCTAATACATGACTATTCTCTTTGGCCAAAGAAGAAGGAGGGATTTAGTACAGAGAAATTTGTTCTCTAGCCTTAATTAAACATGCATGCAGCTAATATCATGAATTACCTATGAACATATTTCCCAGTTGTCCTAGAATATCTAGAAGTTAGCTTTATAAGACATCAGGAGGCACAGTGTCCTGGGCACCTCCATTCTGACCCAGCATGTTTATTCTGACTAGTCTATTCTGACTAGTCTATTCTGACTAGTTGGAGACTCTGCCCCATTTCGATCTGTAACTTTTTCTGAACAACAACATCAGATATAACTGGCTAACTTAATAAAATTTGCAAAAGGAATAATAGATTTAAAAACACTTTGGGAAACTGCAATTCCAGGTGCTGCAGTCATGCCTTTTTTTTTTTTTTCCGGATTAGGAGGAAATCTAAAATACTTCCATTGCCAGGGAGATTGGGGAGCTAGAACGTTTCAAAGCTCTATCCCAATTAAATGCAGCACCTGCTAGGATGGGGGAGTCTCTGAACCCTGTTAGCTACTTCATCTGCTGGCTGCCAAAGAAGAATGAAAGGAGAAGAGCCCTCTGTTGGTGTCTGCTGGGCTGGCAACTCCCTAACCGTTTCCATTTTCTGCGTAAATGTCTGTTTTTCCTGAGAGAGCCTGGCCCTCTGCTGGGTACACAAAGTCCGTGCAGCTCTTTTTATTTGTTCTTCACAGGTTTTCCAGGTCTCCAGGGCCCTGCTGCCCACCGCTCCACCCCCCGCCCCGTGCCCCAAGACTCTCTTTGCCGTCAGTCATAGCAGGACAGCCTGGAGACTCTGGGAGACCTGGCTTAGATGGAAAACAAGATAAAGACAGGAAGCCCAAAAGGGAGCTGGCCCATACCTTTTGTCTGAAGTTTGGGAAGGTCCCATATACAGTCCAGCTCCATCTCTATGGCTGTAAATGCATGGGCCTGCTTGGCCTCACATCCCTCACCCAGCCAGGACATGGATAGGAATAGGCTTTATTTTATTAAAAAATATTTCGGAAGGTCTGGGCACTGGGACCCCACAGACCGCAAGATAACATTCTCAGGCATGGGGATGGGCTTTGGCTTCCTATCAATCCCAAGGCTTTCAACAGTGGCCACTTCCTGCTTACCTACCCTTACTCATCTCTCTTCCCATCTCATCCCTAGGCTGTCCAGGGCCCCCAGGGCCCCCAGGTACCCCTGAGCCATCCTCTGATCAGGGTGATCCTGGAGACCCTGGCTTCCCTGGAATTCCAGGCCCTAAAGGGCCCAAAACACCAAGGAATTCCAGTTTTCTTTGGCCTCCCTGGAGAACTAGGACTAAAAGGTATGCCTTCTTGTTTGGCAGGCTGCTGGGCCCTTTCCCATTCTACAATCAGACATGTCTCCTTCCTATAGCCCTGTGACGAGAGGCCAGTTGATAGTGCTCTTCCCACCCTCATCTCAGCCTAGTCTATACTCGCCACCAGCAGCACCACCATGCCAGGCCTTGACTTGCTTTCCTTTGAAATTTGCCAGGCGTGAGAGGTGAGCCTGGCTTCACAGGGACTCTAGGCAAGGTTGGGCCACCTGGAGACCCAGGATTACCTGGGATGAAGGGGAAGGCAGGCCCAAGAGGTGAGTTGAGAGCATGTGCTGGAATGGTTCAAGGGAGGGGTTTGGGGGTCACATTCCCTCAGGAGTCACTGCACACCACTCCAAGAAAGCCTAGAGGCCTGAAACCGCTCAATTAAGCAACTCCAGGAATGTAGTTTAGGGACACTTCTGCCTCCATCAGCTCCTAGGACTGAAAACCACTACTACTTTGCCACCATGTATCTCTCCACTGATCTAGCCATTCTGCATTCGTGGGTATTTGTGTTTGTACTCAGATCACTACTCACCCATTTGCTCAATCCAGAAATTAAGAACCATTTTTTCTCATCCTTTACCACCACCTCTGTTACTCACAGACATCCAGTCCATTAGCAAGCTCTGAGGACTGTATCTCCTAAATGTGCCTTGTATCCATTCATCTCTTATCACCTCCACCACTACTATCCAGGTCCAAGCCATTGATGTTCCCCAGATGAATCACTGCAGTGACCTGCTAACTGGTCTCCCTGCTTCTGTTGTGCACCTTTCCCAACAGTCACTTCTCCACACTGTGGTGAGAGAGACCTTATAAAAACTTAAATCATCTACTGGCTTCCCATGGCATACAAATTAACTATGGCCACAAACCCCTATCTAATGCCTCCTTACCCTTTTCAGGTCACTGTGCTGTTGCCACACTAGCCTCTCAGTTAACTAAAAACACCTGGCCACAGGGCCTTTGCACATGCTACTTCTACTTCCTGGATTACTCTTGTACCACCACCACTCCCAGCTCTTTTTAATGCTTCAATGGTCTCAACTTAAATGTTACTGCCTATAAGATGCTCCTTATCACTCTCTATAAAGCAAGTTCACCTCATAACTCTCTGTCCTGCCTGCCATTGCCACTTCACTGTTTATTTCGTTTGTAGTACTTCTCACAATGTGCAGTCAAATTAATGATATTTGTCAGGTACCATAATGTCCATAAACATCTTATTCACCGCTATATCCCCTAATTTTAAGCAGTAGGCACTTGAGAAATAGTTATTCAGTAAATTAGTAAGCAAATTGGCTTTAATAGTAAACCAGCTACCTAGGTTTGGGGTTCTAGGCTGTGATACCAACTGAACCTCTGGGATTGGAGGTGTCCCCTCACCCTCCTTCGCACTGTGCTCTTATCAGTGAGTGAGTAAACCAACCATCCAAGCCCCCAGCCAAGTTTCAGACTACCAAACTTACCACAAACATTTACTGACTTGCCTACCATATACTAGGCCCTGAGAAAACAAAATAAATACAACTTAGGTCCTGCCCTCAAGGAGCTACCAATCCACTGTGTAGGTGGATGGGTAAAGAGGACATTGGGTAGTATTCAGTGGGGGCTGTGAGGACAAAGAGGAAGGGCAGACAGCTAGTGATTATGAGGCAGAAAGGAAGGCTTCCAGGCACCAACCCTGGCTGCCTCCTTGGCATTTGCCTGACATTTTCACACACACCCACCTGCCCAAAGGCTTTTCTGGCCCCCAAGGTGCTCCTGGCCAAACATCAATTACAGAGAACATTCAGGCTCTTCCTGAACCCATGGTTCTACCAGGCATTGATGGCATCCCTGGTCTCATGGGAGATCCTGGAGTTCAAGGCCCTGTAGGCCTACAAGGTAAGGATTGTGCCTGAGAAAGGGGGACTGAGACACCCTGGCTGAGAGGCTGAATAATCTGTCTGGGAAGCCCAGCTTCAAGGGAGTGCCTTTCTCAAGCACTCCCACAGAGCTCTCAAGCTTCTTGGCAGGCGGGCCAGCAGAACCAGCAGTTGTTCTTGTTTTTAGAGAATGTGTGGGCAGAGCATAGCAGCTACTCTGGACTGCTTGACCCTTACTAACGTGCTGCTGAGAGAAGGAGGGAGTGTGGTGGAGGATGAAAAGCAATAGCGAAATCCCAGGGCTTGGAGAAAGGAAACCCAGTTTATAATCCATTTTCCCCCAACTAGAGTAAATTAGCAGTCTCTCTGGGCTTCCATGTCCTCAATTCTGAGATGAGATGCCAGCAATGGCCTTGCATTCTTCCCAGCATTGTTGGGAAAATAAGAGGAAGGGATGAAGAACTAAATATGAAGTGAATCAGAATGGCTAAGTTTAGAGGGCAGTCCCAGGGCACAGATGCCCCATCATGACCTAAGGACTAGCTCAGGAAGCTCGGCCCTGAGCTCAGTGTGTGCTGCAACATGATGGCCTGTGCGCCCTCTCCTGGTGAGTCCTGGGCATGACGTACAAGTCCCCTTTTTCAGGAGGGCTCCTCCAGACCCTCCATATTCAGTACCACACACTGTGGGCCTTCTGTCTTTGTAGGCTCCAAAGGTTTACCTGGCATCCCTGGCAAAGATGGTCCAAGTGGGGTCCCTGGCCCACCTGGGGCTCTTGGTGTTCCCAGTCTTCCTGGACTGCTAGGCCCTCCAGGATATGAAGGTCTGGCAATGTCGACACTAGGAGCAGAGGGCTTCTGTGAGGGTTTAGGGCTTGGTTGTGAGTAAAAAAAATCTCAAATTTGAGAATTAGGAAATCTGGTGGTAAAGTCTGACACTGCCCAGAGGCTAGAAAACTGGGTTCTAATTCATTCCATCTGAACCTGTGAAGGATTAGAGTCCTACATTCTTGAAGACAAAGTCCTGTTTCAAAGCCTTTTCTGGCTTGTCTTCCAGCTCTTAAGAGCCCTGACTCTATTGGATAGTATGGCCCCCTGCGCTGCATCTCCCCTTTTCTACCCAGGGGTTCTGATGTGGATGGGAGGGGGGTGGTTCAAGAGATAAGTTTGAGATCAGATATATTGTTCTGCTACTTACTTCCCATCTTATATCAGAGATAGCAAATCTCTAAGTTTGGTTGTCCTGAGTAGAGAACAGTTCTGAGGCCCATGGGGAAATGGTATGATCATTTGCCATGGGCAGGAGAGGAGGGTGTGATTTTGCCCCACTAATCCCCACTCTGCTTTTGTTGCCTCTGATTCAACCAGTAAAGGTACTTACTTACCTCCTATGAGAGCCTTGGCCTGAGAAGTAAACCCCTCCACCCCCTCTTAAGAGAACCCAAAGCCAGGCAACTGTGGGATAGAAATTGCATAGTGTGCTTTTTAAAATGGGAATTCTGTAACTGGATATAGTCATCCCCCATTACCTGCAGGGGATACATTCTGAGACCCCCAATGGATGCCTGAAACCACAAAGAGTACTGAATTCTATATATAGTGGTTTTTTTCCTATATACACATACCAATGATAAAGTTGAATTTAGAAATTAGGCACAGGACTTCCGCCAAGATGGAGGCATAGGTGGATGTGCCGTGCCTTCTCACACAACCAAGTTTAGAGACAACTAAATATTAGCAATAGAAAACACAGCCAGAACACAGAAAATTGAACTTTTCGGAAGTCCGTTAACAACAAATTCTTCAGCCTGACCAGTAAGGGACGAAACCAGCGGCTGGTGAAGCGGGATTGCAGAGGAGGACTTGGTCAGCCGGACTCAGGCGTGGAATCCAGACGCGCGGAATCCAGGCGCAGGGTTGGACCTAGTAAGTGACTGAGCGAGCCACCAGGCAAGCGACCACGGGGGAGACAGCGGAGGAGCGGTGCTGCGTGTTGACTGTGGTCGCACATTTGTGCGCGGGTGGACAGGCGAGGGAGTGAGCGGTTGGACCGGGGCCGGCGGGTCCCAGCGGCAAGAGGCAGTGGAGGGCACCGCCATTTCCCCGCTCTGACCCCACCTCCACATACAGCGTCATAACCCAGCGACTCTGAGTGGCCCGGCCCTGGTGAACCACCTAAGGCGCTGATCCTCACCCAGCTGTGAGAAACAGCAGAGGGGGTCGCCATTTCCCCGCTCTGACCACGCCCCCACATACAGCGTCACAACCCAGCGACCTGGGAGTCCAAGGCACCGCGTCTCGCACTTAAAGGGCCAGAACAGACCAAAAATGTCGTAAGATCTCAAAGCCCCAGAGCCCATAAATCTAAGTGATGAAGAAATAGCAAAACTCTCAGACGCACAGTTTAAAACACTGGTCATCAGGACCCTCACAGAACTGGTTGATTATAGCCACAAATTAGACAAATATATGAAGGCAAAACTAATTGAAATGAATGGAATTGCACAGGAAACCAATAGCAATGAAAAGGAAACTGGGACTCAAATCAATGGAGTGGACCAGAAGAAAGCAAATAATGGCCAAACAGAAAAGAGTCAAGAAGCAAGAATTCAAAGAAATGAGGAGAGTCTTAGGAACCTCCAGGACATCTTTAAACGCTCCAACATCCGAATTATAGGGGTACCAGAAGGGGGAAAGGCACAGCCACCAGTGGAAAACTTATTTGAACAAATAATAGAGGAGAATTTCCCCAATCTGGCAAAGAAAATAGACTTCCAGGAAATCCAGGAAGTTCAGAGAGTCCCAAAGAAGTTGGACACAAGAAGGAACACACCAAGGCACATCATAATTACATTAGCCAAAATTAAAATGAAGGAGAGAATCCTAGAAGCAGCAAGAGCTAAGGGGACAGTCACCTACAAAGGAGTCCCCATCAGACTGTCAGCAGATTTCTCAAAAGAGACCTTACAGGCAAGAAGGGGCTGGAAAGAGGTATTCCAAATCATGAAATCCAAAGACCTACAACCAAGATTGCTCTATCCAGCAAAACTTTCATTTAGAATGGAAGGACAGATAAGGTGCTTCTCAGATAAGATCAAATTCAAGGAGTTCATCATCACCAAGCCCTTATTATAGGAAATGTTAAAGGGACTTATCTAAGAAAAAGAAGTTAAAGAAACATGAACAGTGAAAGGACAACAAACTCACAGTTATTAACAACCACACCTAAAACAAAAGCAAACTAAAAAGGACAGCTAGATCAGGAGTGGAAACATAGAAATGAAGATCTCAAGGAGGGTTAGCAACAGGGGAGTGGGAGGAGGAGAAGGGGGGAGAAGGTACAGAAAATAAGTAGCATAGACAGTAGATAGAAAATAGATGGGGGGCAAGAATAGCATGGGAAATATAGAATCTAAAGGACTTGAGACACATGGTCATAAACTAAAGGGGGGGTAATGGTGGGGATGGGGGGGTAGGGTGGAGGGGAATGAAGGGGGGAATAGAACAGCTGTAACAGCATAATCAATAAAAAAATTTAAATTAAAAAAAAGAAATTAGGCACAGTAAGAGATTAACAACAACAATAATAAAACAGAACAATTACAACAATATACTGTAATTAAACTTATGTGAATGGACTTGGGGTCATTATTAGGCAAAATAGGGGTCATTTGAACACAAGCGACCTGGTAACTGAGATGGCTACTAAGTGACTAACAGGCAGGGATCATATACAGTATGGAGATGCTGGACAAAGGGATGATTCATGTCTTGGTCAGGACAGAACAGGATGGTGCAAGATTTCATCATGCTACTCAGAATGGCATGCAACTACTTAAAACTTATGAAATATTTATTTCTGAAATTTTCCATTTAATTTTTTTCGAACTGTGTTTGACCACAAGTAACTGTAACTGCAGAAAGCAAAACCCCAGATAAGGGGGACTACTCTACACCTAAACTGGTGTCCTAGCTCCATACTTGCTAGCTGTGGGACCTTCAAGCCTCCGTTTCCTCATCTATAAAGTGAGGTGATAAAATTGTGCCTTTCTCAACACTCAGCATTAAGCAAGTGGCTACTATTATTATTGACCTTAACTGGCTCACCCCTTTTCTGCCCTTTTCCTCTCAGAACCTCCAGGAAAACAGGGCCCCTTTGGCAAGGTTGGATTGCCTGGACAGAGCATGAGAGTAAGCTACACATTGGTGAAGCACACCAGTCAAAACAGGTGCCCCTCTGCCCCTCCGAGATGACCCAGCTGTGGGTAGGTTATAGCTTGCTGTTCGTGGAGGGGCAGAAGAAAGCCCATAACCAGGACTTGGGTAGGTACTGATTCTCACAGCCAGTCCTGGCCATCTGTCCCCACGAGAACCAAGAGCCATGCTCTTTGCTCTGCCCAAGTCTTGATGGGCTCACTCTTGGGTAGTGGATTACAAGCATCAGCTCTGGAATCAGGTCTGTGTTCTAATACTAGCCATGTACCTGGAGACAAGTTATTCAACTTCTTAACTTTCTACTTTCTCCTGAATGGAACAAGGCTAAATCTACTACCTATCTCATGAGATGGTATAAGGATTACATGAACCATCCAATGTAAAATGCTTAGAACAACGTTTGGCACATAGTAAGCATCAGAAAATGTTAGCAATTAGTAGTAGCAATAATAAGATGACCTGTGAGGCAAGGATAATTACCCAAGAATTAATTGTGCTGTCTACAGGTAGGCTAATTCTGAAAAGCAGACTCACTCTATTAAATTCTAGTTTTACAAAGCAAATTAATTAAGGGGACATTTTCAGTTTATAAAAATATTATTTTCAGCCCTGGATGGTGTAGCTCAGTGGATTGAACGCGGGCCTGCAAACCAGAGGATCGTGGTTCGATTCCCAGTCAGGGCACATGCCTGGGTTGCAAGCTGGTTCCCAGCAGGGGATGCACAAGAGGCAACCATACATTGATATTTCTCTCCCTCTCTCCTTCCCTTCCTCTCTAAAGATAAATAAATAAAATCTTAGAAAAAGTATGCATCTTAAAAAATATATATTATTTTCATTATCAAACTACCCTGGTGCATTAAAAATAGGATTTGACTAACAGGCTTCAGTGCATGTAGTGTTCCAGGATGGTAAGGAGAGGTGTCCCTGTCCTGGTACAAGTGGTTAGATGTAAAACCAAACCACCATCCCACTAAATCCTAGTAGCCCTGGGCATAGTCCCAGCCCTACTTCTGCCTACCTTATCTCTTTCCAGGGTTTTCTGGCTTCTGCCTGCTGCACTTCAGCACCATGCCCTTCATCTACTGCAACATCAATGAAGTGTGCCATTATGCCAGGTGCAATGATAAGTCCTGCTAGCTCTCCACCACTGCCCCCATTCCCATGACGCCCATCAGCCACTGCTCTGTGTGTGAGGCACCCTCACAGGCCATTGCTGTGCTCAGCCAGGATATCACCATTCCACAGTGCCCCCTGGGCTGGCACAGCCTCTGGATTGGGTACTCCTTCCTCATGGTAAGGCCCCTGCTCCAAGTGTAGAGACAGAGGGCAGGGATCTCTGGGAGGGTCCCTCAGAGTTGACTTCCAGGCTCAAGGGACACCAGGCAGAAATCAGTTTGAAAGAAAGGAAAATGGTTGGCCTGGGCTTGCCTAAAGGCCAGTGAGCCCAATTCTGCATGAATGACAGGTAATTACAGGCATGAGTAGAAAAGAGCAGTTTGCACCCAGTGGTTCATGGGTGAGAATAGCTATGAATCACAGGCTGGCCAGTGAGGGACAGGGTGTCCCCACTTAGGGCTGGGACATACTCCCACTGGTCAGGATGGGCATGGCCCTCCCTTCTCTTCTGCCCACTTTCCCTCTAGCCACTGCTACCTCCTCCCAAAAGGCTCAGATGAGGGCATGCTATGTTTCCATATCCTTGCTGGGGTTTCTGCTGCCTTGCCATTTCTGATAAGAAGTCAATGTCCAATCATGCTGTGAGGTTGCTTAGCTCAGACAATCTGTAAGCCCAAGGAAGCATAAGGCCCCTCAAATAACATTCCATAAATAACTGGGGACATTAAATAAATGAAAAGGCAAGTTTACGGCCAGGATATCTCCCAGGGCAAACCAGTGTGCATCCACAGAAGTACCTGCTTCACCAGAGCTTCTTCGCTAAATCACCAGGGGTGAAATGGTGAGAGAGTGTCTTTGATGAATTACCAAACTGCAGTCTTACATTAGTGTACCTACCGGGGTTGAGGTATTTCCATTCTTGCTTTATCTTTGTGAATTGGGCAGTTTGTCCCAATTTAATGTAGAATCATTCACCTATCAGTCTGTCTTGTCCACTGAGATTTCACAAGGAATGTACAAAAGTTATATAGGAAATCTCATGTACTTTGCTCATATGAGTGCTATTAAACCCTTATGCAAAATCTCTTTTACTGTACATATAATCCTAACATAATATATATGTACATAATATATATATATTCCTGAACACGTGGAAGGGTGGGAATTTGGACTGCATAGTAAGTCATCTTGAAGCAATCAGACATGCCTGATGAAAGGATTAAAGAGGGAGAAAATTATTTAAAGACCCCCAAGAACTCTACAAGCTGTGTCTCTTGGTACAGGGTTCCTGCATCATCCTCCAAAGCAAAACCTGATATTCACAGTGACAAGTGTGGGTCATATGCAAATTGTAAAATACAGTGTCTTCTGTTTGGTAAGGCAGGGTAATGTGTCATTCATGCTAGAAGTTTTCTACTTTAGGAGCAAAATGAGAAAGTTTGATGCTTCATTTATTAGGAAACGTCACTTTTATGGAGAGATACTTTGCCAAAGTTCTGCAAAGTAAGTTGTTACTGTGTGTTTGACTTAGGCATTTGTCCCATTGGCCATTTGCTGACCCAGATGTATATGAGGCCTCCCCCCCCATCTCCTGTGGTCCAGATAATAACCCAGCTGAGGTAAGGGGGAGGGGACAAGAGTAGGGAGAGGGGGCTTCTGTCTATGGGTACAGTGACCAGAAATTATCAGCTTATGAGTGGCACTGATGAGGAAAACCTGGAAGTGAGTGCTATAGGAGCTTCCTAAAGTGAGAGCCAGAATGTCAGGCCAAATCTGAGGTCAACATGTACACAGCAGGTAATAAACACTGTATGTCGCCCTAGAGGTTGTGGTACAGATTCAAAATATAAGTTGTAATGAAGGTAAATTCAGAGTAAGAGCTAATAATAGATATGCTGGGAGAGGGCTGATAATTTAACCACTTTGTGAAATATTCTGTGCTCCTTCCCTTCTTGGCATATACCACCAGGGTCTTGGAGTAAACAAAGTGCTCTAAGAACAACTGCATTTTGAAACCTATTGATTTTTTCATAATTCAGCCTTTCTTATGCTTATGTATCCATGGAATTTGGAGGGTGGAGCAACAGCGCACCTTACCACCACCCCCCGCCCTGAGGCACCAGCAGTTTGGGAAATGTTGGTTGAGATGTTGGCTGCAGCCTATGCACAGTGGGGTGGGGGGACACCAGAGATCTTGGAGGAGATGTTTTGGGTCCTGAGGCTACTACAAAGGAGGATGAGAGGCCCAGGTCCTAAAATATAGCCTTTGGTCTGCTGGCCAGACACTGGGTTGAGCAAAGGGGCCTAAGCTTAGGAATGAAGCACCTGTCCATCATCTCCCATGGGTCCAGCTCCCATCTCACCGTTGTTCATTTCAGCACACTGCTGCCAGTGCTGAGGATGGAGGCCAGTCCCTGGTCTTACCTGGCTCCTGCCTAGAGGATTTTCACACCACTCCTTTCATTGAGTGCAGTGGTGCCTGGGGCACCTGCCACTACTTTGCCAACAAGTATAGTTTCTGGCTGACAACAGTGGAAGAGTGGCAGCAGTCTGGGGAGGAACCTGTGCCAGAAACATTGAAAGCCGGGCAGCACCACACCCTAGTCAGCTCCTGCCAGGTGTGTATGAAAAGTGTATAGGGTGGCCCCTGCCACTCTGCCCCTTTCTCTCCCTTCCCCCACACAGTGGTCACCTCACAAACCCAAATGATCTCAAAAAGGAAGGCCTATGTCCGTTTGCCTATCTGCCAAGTTGTACACTGGAGTCTTGTTTGGGCTGGACTACTGGACAGTAGTTATGTAAACCCTCAGACCCAATGGGTGAGCCCTCCCTGCTGAAATCTACTGTCCCATTTCTATCAACTTGGCACTACTGTTTGATTCAAATGTTTGTGTGACTATTCATGGCTACCTCAGAAAGACCAGCTGGGCTGCCAGTTTCTTAGACTGCTAGTTTTCCTCACTATCTTGATCACAAAGTGTTTCTATAGTAGCTGATAAGTCATTTCTTCATGTCCAGAGGTCACCACACAGTATTGAGCTTAAACCAGAACCCAGTGTCTCCACATGAAAAAAAAGTTATGACTGAGCATTCATGAATGACTCAAGTCTGCACAGACAAGCCCTCACTTTTTAAGGAAACCCACTGTGACTAGGCAGGCAGCAGAGAAAGAATGAGGTGCTAGCCAGTAGCCCAGGGTAGACTTTGACTCCTTCGAGAATGAGTATGACTGGGCCCCATATTACTTAGGGAAGTTTAAAGGCCAGCAGCCAAAAAAGGCTCATTAACTTCATATTGTCCTAGACAAATCACAGCCTCCTTACTGTCTCCCTCCCCAGGCAGAGACCTATGACTTGGCCTGGTCCAGAGTAGTATAGAGGATGCATCAAATGTGGTCAGGGCCATGTAGGGAAATGAAAACCACAGTCCTTTCTCCCAGGCCGGGGGTAGAAGATTGGGTGGGAGGTATAAAGTTTACTTTTGACTCTAGGAACAAAAAAGGTAAATCCCTTGTCCCAGTTTCTCAGAAGTCTCTGTTTAATTTAAATGCCATCCAGATATGTGCAATGTGGCAAACTGAAACTCCATTTTGTTGGTTCTTTTGCATTTTCAGGCTGTTAGAGGCTTTCTATTACAGTGTCCTTCCCATTTCTCTCTTATAGGTAGCCTGTTAAGCTATTGCAATACATTTTTTAAAATCTAAATCAAGACTGAGTTGAGTGTAAAGTGTACTGTATTCTTTTTGGGGAGATTATTTTAATGGTTTTCTTTAATTATCAGTTTCCCAGAATACTTAGCTATGTTTGACATGAGATAATTTCTTCCAGATGATTCTGTTTCCCTAACTATTATGTAAACTGTGTAACACAAACAAAACATATGTAACAATAACTCTGAATTATTGTTACCGTCACCTCTTCTCTAAGTAATAAGCATGGTGTCAGCTTTGTATATTGCAAATAAAGCAAATTAAATATGAATTTTGACTCTTGATGTTCTTTGATGAAAACTTGTCTAAAGTCTACTCACTATAATTCAAGAGTCCCCCATAAGCCATGGGGGCTCCTGTTACTGCAAGTTGATCTTTATAACAAAACACTGATGCAGGAAAAAATATGATTAAAGTCAAAGAACAAAAAGAGTTCTCTTTCAAGCAACAAATCCACAACCTGTTTCAAACAAGTCCATGACTGCTTTTAGCTCCATCACATGCTAGAGTTCAAGGAAGGAATTTCCATACTTTTGGGGCCTCTGGATCACTTTCAGATAAATCAACAGTAGAGAAGTGTTAAAGTCATTAAAATCAAGTCTAAGATATATATATATATTTCTACAATATATGTATAAAATATATCTACTGGGAAGATAAAAAATTAATAACATAATACATCAGGGAATGAAACTGACATATGGGAGGAAGAGACATTTCATTGAATAGCATTTTGAATCTTGAATTTTGAACCACTGGAATATATTACCTACAAGGGAAAAAAGGAAAAATTGGAATCTAAGGAAACAAGTGCTATTCCTATACATACAAAAAAACCTCCACAAATAACCTTTATTTGGTGCTAGCTTTCAAATTGCAGGCCTTCCTCAGAACTTTGTTGAGGATGGAGGTGACATGTATACACATTAAGAGGGTAAGAAAAAACTTGGAAAATACCACTGCAACTTGAGCTGCATCCACACAGGGGAGTGGGTAGCAAGGAAACTATGATGGATATGTGCTTTAAAATTTAATGTGTTGCTAATCCTTAAATAGTTTGGAATTGTATTTGATACATAGATTAAATGTCACCACATGAATAATTCTTTCTAATATGGCTGTCAACCAAAATAGAGTCTAATTCAATTATAATTTTTAATTTCTCGGACAAATATCAATATTTTAAGTCAAGAAAGAAAAAAAAAAGAAAAAAGAAAGAAAAAAAAGAAAAAGAAAAAAAAACAGAGTTAAATAGCTATGACAAAGGTGGCATGGCCTACAAAGCCTGAAACATTTACTATCTGACCCTTTACAGAAAAAGTTTGCAGACCCCTGATCTAGGCAATTGTGATTTTATTTAAGGACAGGGTGATGTCTGACAAAAGTGTCAGTAAAGAAGTGGGTGACCCGTTAACTAGTAAGTTTACCCCAAAGAGTCGGGAGATCAGTAAATCCACATTTGATGTAATTTCTTTGACAAACTTTCTGATATAAATTATAATGAAATATAATCAATCAAAATACATATTCAAATAATTTAACAAGAACTTTTTCTCCCTGATGTAATCACTTTATTATTAGAACAAAGAAATAGACTGCTTCTTAGTATTTAGCCCGAAAGAGGTCACACCTGAAAGGGTGAGGAAGCACAGTTAACCATATCTTATCTGCTGATGCTTGAAGCAAGATGGGATATTCTGTGTACATTCCAGTTGTCTACCTCCTCATTTCAGTAGTGGCAGACTCCCTGTGGCTATGTAATACAAGCTGGGAAGCAAGGGATGACTCCTAATCTCTTTGCTCCTAGATTTTACAATTGTTCTAGTTCTTTCTGGGGAAAGGTTGTTAATTGTTTTTTTTCTGAGAAACAGTGATTGGCTCAGTCAGGATTGATTGCTATCACATTTGTATGCTGTTGGCATAACAGGCACTTGCTGACTAGAAAAGTTTTATGTGCTGAGTTCATGTTCTTCTAGTACCAGATCAAAGACACACCTCAGGTTGAGTTCCTACTATTCTTCTATACACTCAGAATCTCAAAATCTTCCTCCAGGTCAAACTCTTCTAGTTGTTCAGTAGAGTCAATGAATTCTGTCAGAATACAGAAATGAGAAAGAGTTGAAAAGCTTGATGCTTAGGATGAAGTGGTCAATACATTACTGAGTAGGAAAGACCATGCACTTTTAATTTGCTTGCTAAAGTAAAGCTGTTGTGAAGGAAGCTTACAGATAGGACCACTGTCAAGTATTAGGAATTCTCTATAAAGAATCAAATTAATCAGACTTTTTACATATTCCTAACTACATTGATGAAGATGAGGCTCTGTAACAACTTAGAGGCACCTTTTGACTCATTCACAGCTTTCAATTTGTTATTCTGAACCAGACCATGGAAAAAAATGTCTAGTCATTATGATTTTACATGGAAGTTTTACACTGAACTCATTTTCTGCTATTATCATTCTTTGAAATTGGTATCAGTTCATCAGAGAATTTGAATAATCACAAGCACCATTTCTTGATTAATCTAGACAATTGCTTCTGTCTCATAAACCAATTGCTATATGTGGGTCTGCTAGTTGTAGAGCACCTGAATAACCACTTACCTGCCCCAGTGGTTGTTACCTCTGGTTTGGCTGGAGGTACAAAGGGAGGCCAGTGTGATGGATGTTTCTGAACTAATTCAAACATCCTTAAGTTTTCCTTTAAAATTTCCTGAAGAGATACAGAAACAGCTATAAACACTGCAGAATCACTATATTTCTGCCCAGTTGGCAATCTACAACCCCAAGCCCTAAGTGTTCTGCTGGTGGAAAGATGAAAGCAAAGGCCAAACAAACACACCCATCCTCTACTTGACCCATCTAAAGACCCAGCCCTCTTCAATTCTAGAACTTCTCAGGAGGGAAGGCCACTGAAGGGAGTATTCAATCGAAGGCCAGCACTCACTGCCCAAACTCCATCATAAGGTTCGGGTCATATGCCAGTTGCATGGACTCAATTCAATTTAGGGGAGAGATGTTCCTGAAGTGTTGGCTTCAAAGAAATGCTGGTTAATCAAATAAAATATTCCCCAAGAGAAATACTGGAACATATTGGCATGGTTTCCATTTAGTCCAATACGGTAAACAGTGTATGTCCCAACTTACATGGCATAGTCTTATCAGAAAATTTTTCTTCTAACTTTAAATGTGATATAAATAGTTTTGCTCCATTCTGAAATGGAAGTGTTGCTTTTAGAAAAGTATTCTTCTTTATGTCTCAGCTAATTATTAACTGGGGTTTCATATTCAGCTAGGGACATTTGTGTTATTTGTTTACTTGTGAATAAAAATCTTCCCTCCTTAAACCTGCAAGAGGCTCTGGGCTCCCATCTCTCCAATCTCTTTGTTTTGCAGATAGAAGAACATTGTGTCACCTGCCACCCCATCCAGGGCTCTGTAAACTACTCCCTATGATCTCCTTTCATTTTTTAAATAAGTGTTTATCAGTCTTCCACATATTTGGCATGTGTTAGAACAGGGGTGTCAAACTCATTTTCACTGGGGGCCACATCAGCCTCACAGTTGCCTTCAAAGGGCCGAATGTAATTTTAGGACTGTATAAATGTAACTACTCCTTGACAGTTAAGCAAGAGCTTGGTGCTGCCGCCAGATAGAAACAAGGTGCAGGTCGGATAATACAAGGTGGAGGGACAGATTTGGCCTGCAGGCCTTGTGTCTGCCAAGTGTGTGTTAGAAGCTGAGGATGAGAGAGGCAGAAATAAAGATTGCTGATCCAGCAACACAATAAATACTCTTACACAAAATACAAAAAAAAGGAACAAGTTGCTTTAGGATTTACACAGATTTATGCAAACTGTATTCTTCTTTAACTAGCAGCATGACTATATTTTATATAAATCAGACAGTTAATAGAAAGGTAAGTCCCC